TATTTTCCTCCTTACGTTAGGGCTGCTCCTTTGGGAGTAGAATTAGCATGAACGAACTGATGCCCGACGCATATCAGCTTTACAACCAAAATCAGTTTCTTCATAAGCGATCGACCACACTATTAAGATTGATCGTGCTCTAAACTTTCGTCGGCAAGGCCAGTTCAGCAGTGATTGGTTTTGCTGCTTCACTACAGTTCGGTAGATTTTTTCCCCTCTACAGTTGACCGGGAATTTCTATCGCCTTTGCTGGCCAATCATTTTCGTGTGTAGACCACTGAGTAGACGCACACACAGTGGCCATTTATGCTTCTGTCTGTTTTTCTCCTTCGCTTGCCCACCCATGTTTATTCGTGCATATATTCGCATAGAAATCAGATTTATTTATTTATTTAGTCATTTAAATATCCAATTTACTTAATGTTGGCAAAAATAAAAATCTTGATCGCAAACTTACTTGCTGTCATATCTAATCTCTCTTACCCCATTTCGGCCTACGCCTGCCCTCCAATTGCCAAATCCTGCTTCGTCTCCCAATCATGTACAGCTCTGCTCCTTGCTTAATCAGCACTGGCTCAGCCAGCAACCGTCTTCCGGCGTCTCCGTGCCTACGGTGGCCACTAGCAACAGCGGTGGCCCCACGACAAACCCTAACACTGCGGCCACAACTGCCGCCGACGCCGCCGCCGCTGTCGCTGCCGCCTACCATAAACTGTCGTCCGGTTCTTCGCTCTACCAGTTGGAGGCCTCGTTGCCACCGGCCGGTGGTGGGAAGACGGTTCGACCGGCTCAGTCAAAGCAGGATGTGATACAGACGCCTTTTCAGCAGCCTCTACTGCAAGAGCACCACCCTCATCACCACCACCAGCAACAGCAACAGCAACAACAACTTCAACAGCATCTTAAACAACCACAACATCACTATCAGCCACACCATTCGCATGTCCATTACGGCCTGTTGGCGACGCTCTCCGACGCTGGCTCCGTCGGATCGGGCGGTAAGACGACGGCCACCAGCAGTCCGGCTAACTCGACCAATTTGATGGGTCCAAGTGTATTCGCCTCGATTGCTGGACTCGGACAACAACAGCAATTGTATACTGTACAAACCGAGGGCGGAAAAATGTCTCTATCACAAGGCCACTATCTCCAGTCATTGGCCGCCTATGCGCCGGCTTCTTCAACCGTCCAAGCCTATCCACACCAATACCACCTACAACAGGCTCATCAACACCATCACCAGCATCACCCTCAGAGCCAAGCTCAGCAGCAGCACCAACATCAGCAACAACAACAGCACTTTCATTCGGTCGGAGCCGGAAATACGATGACAGGGGCTGAGGCGACTGGCCTGTCCCAGGCCTACCTTTACGCGAGTTCGGGAAATTCAGCTGGCCTGATGGCTACGCCGCTGAGTGAGCCAGTCGACCGACAACAGGCTACACCTTCGTCCATGGGTCGCCGTTCCGTCAAGAAGACGTCGAAACGACAAACGGTCTCCCAGGCGACTGGCCCAACCGACGAGGTTGCATTGGCTATGCCGGACTCCGCGCCTGGCCTGGTGGGTAGATCGAGTGAACTCGATCCAATGATCTCACCGAACTGCCGGCTCTATCCGTTCGGTCAAGAGCATGTCCGCGATCTGCATCACCTTCACCAGGACCACTTGCAACATCAGCTTCAACAGCAGTCAGAGGCCTTCCATCGTGTACAGATGTCACACCAGTCAGCAATCAGTCCTGGAGAACGTCGAGCTCCATCTGCGAGTGGACGAGCCGGTTCTTCCGTCAGGCTGGAGGCTCCAGCCAAGCCAGTCGGTCCGGGGGCTCGACAGAAGACGACCGCGTTCGAGGGCAAGCTGAAACCGGCCCGACCAGTGTCATCGGGTCGTGTCAAAGAGGCATCCTCCACGGCGGCTGTGATCGCGACTGAGTCCGCGCTGGCCGGACTTGAGGCAAGTAGACGACGCTTCTCGGCTCGCTCGACCGGTCATCTGGCGGGGTGCTCCCGAGACCGGGACAACGATGAGCTCGACTTTCAACATGAGGCTAAGGTCTTGGCGACTCGTCGAGTCCCCACCTCTATCGGTGCCAGTAGCTTGAGGAAGGCGTTCAGTCCGATGGGCTCTTCACCCGGCGTTGCCGGCCCTCACTTAAGCACGTCAGAACTGGCTAATGATGAGATCAGATGGAAGGCAAAGACAACCATCCCCTCGAAGAAACTGGTCTCTGGTGTTGGACAAGCCAAATCTCCTTTGGGCGAGATGCGACCGGATACAAGGTAAACTTGACGCCTCTTTTCTGTAATTACTCTCAATATAATATGTATTACGTTCTCTGACTTACACAGGTACAAATGATAACACATGCACAAACATGAAGATATACACACATATCATGACATAACTTTCGATTTCGAAGGAAAAGTTGGTTGGAAGGAATTTGTGAAATGGTCTCATGGGGTGCAAAAGGAGGATTGCCGCGAAGTGAAGACTGTTGGATTGTACGAAGAAGTCCTTGGCTCACCGTTCTGCGATCTTTTCTCTTGGTTCGGTATATTTTTGCTCTATTTCGTTAAGTATGGATTCCTGCTCTGATGATGTTTGTCAGAGTATAGACAAAAGCTTTACACAGGCTAATCAGGGTCATAGGAAGGTGGGCCGAGGACTGCTTTGTACAATACAACAGTTTCCAGTATGCGGCAATCCTCTGGTTTCCAGTACAACCACACCACAAACTTTTTTAACCAACTTTTCCTTCGAAATGAAAATTCATGTCACAATGTAGCACTTAGTAATGCTTCGAAAAGTAGATTAACCAAATCATTTTAAATTTATCCACATATATACATATATCCACAGCAATTATTTTCTCCTGCAAACGCGCATTCTTTGTACGTGTAAACCTATTCAGTGAGAAAGCGAGAGGAAGAGAAAGAGAAAGATCTGTATATTTTAATTTATTTTCCATTTTATCTATGGGTATATCTAGCATGTAGTAAAGTACTAGATTAAATGAAGATATGAAGACCAAGATTTTGTGGCCTCTGTTAGGGTCGCAGTCTACTTCTATAAAGTACTAGATTGTTTTATTGACTTAATGTTAATTTAAAGATATTGAAAGAATGGGCTCCAACTTTCATGATATCTCTTATTTAACGGACGTAAGCCAAGCCAGTTTTTACCCGAAATGAGACAGGATGTCTCGTGACTGCGTCAGTCTGAATGTTATACTCAAAACAAACGAAGATCAGCCATCGTCTTCTGGTAGGATCAACCAGCTAGTGTCTTCATTAGGCATTTTAATACAAGACTAATGTCCCCAGACAAACAGGAAGCTAAAAAGCTCGATTTTGTCCTATTTTACTCTTCTTAAC